GGGAAGAGAGAGAAGAGAAGAGAAGAGAAGAGAAGAGAAGAGAAGAGAAGAGAAGAGAAGAGAAGAGAAGAGAAGAGAAGAGAAGAGAAGAGAAGAGAAGAGAAGAGAAGAGAAGAGAAGAGAAGAGAAGAGAAGAGAAGAGAAAGAGAAGAGAAGAGAAGAGAAGAGAAGAGAAGAGAAGAGAAGGAAGAGAAGAGAAGAGAAGAGAAGAGAAGAGAAGAGAAGAGAAGAGAAGAGAAGAGAAGAGAAGAGAGAGAAGAGAAGAGAAGAGAAGAGAGAGAAGAGAAGAGAAGAGAAGAGAAGAGAAGAGAAGAGAAGAGAAGAGAAGAGAAGAGAAGAGAAGTCCAGATTTTAAAAATGGAAAAAACACAGGGGAAAGAGAAAGAAGGAAAAGGACAGTGGGGTTAATGAGCTCAAACTTCTAAGGAATGCTTCTTAGCTCCCTGTAAAAATTTTAGTAATTGCTTTTTGTGAAGGCAGAAGTAGAAAATTGTTCTCTGTTTTCCACTGGTCAGGCAAGAGATAGTGATGAGCCAACTGAAAAATGCATTCTGCTCAAACAATTACACTTCTCTTCTAGACAGATGGATAACACTATTGAAATTTCTTGAGTGCTCCTCTGGGAAGTCTTTGAGTATAAACCGATGTTTAGTTTGCCTCAGCAGAAAGGCTGGCCCTTAATATGCCCCTTTGAATTCTGCTGGGCAGAGTAGGACAGAAAACATATTCGGGGCCACATAAGCTAAGCAGCTTCAAACTTTCTTCCTGCAGTCTTGTGGATGGGAGATCTTGTTTTGGGCCTGAGTAAAAGGATCTCATATTATTTTTCTGCTAATGCCCTCTTTGCTTTCTATTTGTTCTGCATACACTGGAGAAATGAAGTCTGCAATCAGACTTCCAGGAAAGGAATGCAATATAGCATCCTTACACTATACACTACTTGGTATAAAGTGTAATAGCAAAAACCCCTGGCATGATCCTTACATGCTGCTCTCCTATAATTCTGCACATATTTTTCACCACAATGTGCAATTGTACTGGTCAAAAATGTGAATGTGCTGATACCTTATATTATAGCTGTATGTCTGTGTGTGCACACACCTATGTGAAAGGGTGTGTGCAGGTGTCTACATACACTTGCATTTCTTGGACTCTGTTTTGGATTTATTTTGATGTTCCTTGTTTCTTCCTGTGGCAGATCTGCACTGTCTGCATGCAAGGAAGCAATCATAATAATGATTGACCTGACTGTCATGCTTGAACTGCTCCTGACAAAAGCCTGGGTTGAAGGAAGAGAATGTGAACCTGTTAACCTATAACAGCAGAACCTGTATGTAGGAAAAACTAAGTTGACTTGAGATAGCAAAAAATGTTAAGAGGACTGGAAAAAATGCAAGCTGTAGGCAGATATTAAACCTGAAGCCAATGGTATATCATGAGATGTTAGCATTGCTTTGATCTATCAAAGAGTGAGACTACTTTTTTTGCCACCTAATGATGCTTTCAATGAAGCCAGAGTGCAGCTGAGTACAGAATGCAGCTGTCACATGTAATTCCCCTGAATGAGAAAGGTAGGCCTAAGGGTGCCATGTAAAGTTGGATTTGACTCTTCCTTTCACTGTGAGGTATTTTCAAATGGTGCACATAAAGATGAATTTTTGGTCATAACAATTTTGCTGTCAGGAAGCAGGGGAGGGACAGGGTGGTGAAGGTTTTCTGCAGTTTCCAATATGGATAGTGCCTTTTCCAGCACTATTATAGTGCTGAATGTAGATACTGGTGGTATACAGCATTACAGTGAAGCTCATACTTTTGTTTTTAAATCACTATGCTTGCTTTTATTTGCTGTTTCGTTCCTACTGTTTTGTTTTGTTTTTTTTTTTGGAGACAGCTTCATTCACAGTAATGGAGCACTGGGTATTAAATGAGTGTGTCTGTAGTCCAATGAACTCAGTATGCTGCTCATCTTGTTGCTATACTTAATCTAAATAACCTTTTTTATGCTCTGCTGGAATGGCATTTTCAAAAGGCTATATAGTAGTAAATGAGTGTATATGTCAGTAAGGATTTGTTAGACAAATCAAATCTTCCTGACAAGTACATTTATTCATTGCTATTTACTACACACTTCAGTTTGAAGGACAATTTTTGTGATTGGATCTTTAACATTTAGTGTCATTTTGGCAACATTTTCCAACTTTTCTCTTTCCCTTCTCTCTTGCCTGTTGTGTGCTTAACAGCCTCTGCCTAACAGAAGTTTGATTCACAAGGATTATATTACCAATATGTTAAACAGATTTTTCCCCCTGATTAGTTGGTTTATTGCACAGAAGGTGCCTAAGTGCTAAAGTACATTTTAAATACAAGGTTTCTAAGTGCACCATTAGGAATCCGCTACAGTTACAGCCCTGATAACAAGCAGAGATTTTCTTAAAAGATCACAGATTCTTGATGGGCATATATACATGTTAATTTTATTCAAGCCAGACCTTCAGTAGATATAAATCAATACATTGATCCCAAACTGAAGTCTTGCCTGTGACATTGAAAAATATCATGCAATAATGTGAAGCCTCAATGTATTTTTCTCTTTTATTTTTTTTTTATTATTATTGTGTCTTCATTTGAATAAAATCAATTTCAGTAAACTTCTACTTAGCAAAAATTAAATGAGAAAAACATGGAGTTTTCCTGTTCGGAAAAATTTGTCCTTTATCTCATCAAGTGTTACACAGAAGTGCTGATGAGCACAAGTCAGCACATAAGCACATAAAAGTGGAAACTGAGGGGAGCAGAAACCAGGAAAAAAAACCCAAAACCACTGTGCTCAGGCAGTTAGGAAATCAGAAGAGCATCACCAAGATCAGACCTGGGGAAAATCCAGCTTTCTTCACCAACAAGGCAGAGCATAATAAAAGTACCTTTGTGAGTTTGAGTATTTTTACCAACCCAGAAAATTATTCTGTCTCTAGGGTATTTTCCAGCTAAAATCTTCATATAACAAATCTCACAGGTTATTTTCAACCTAAAACCTTCCCATAACGGAGCTCATAAAATTGTGCAAGTACCCAAAGAAGCCTCCTATAGTCAAAATTGTATCAGTACTTACTTTCACTTCCAAGGATGGCATCTGGCATCCCACTGAAAGTTCAAGGTATCTACTTAAATCTAGTGACACCGTTTTGAGTGACAAAATTAAGAAAGGAGTGAAATGTATCTCAATTGTTTGCAAAATGGGTGGTTGTTCACTAAGACTTAGCTGAGGATTGAATCACTCAAAGATAGATTTTGCTATCTTGATAAACAACTAATTGCTAAAAAAACCCCACCACCAAATTACTAGAGGCACTTTTAACAGAGCAGACATCCAAATACCAGACTGCATCCACTGCTGTTTCATTCTCACCAGGCCTAACTGGAAAATACTGGAGCATCAAGCACAATGATAAAAATTTGGGAGGAAGGAAAGAAATGAAGAAATTATGGACTTCCATGTGAACTTCCACCTTCTGGTTGCCTACTGCTGTCACTATTGGACACAAAGTAAGTACACAGATGATTAGTAAGTTCAAAGGAGAAAAAAGAGCATTTTATTTGAACATCTGGTATTTATAGAATTCCAGAGGTGACTGTGGATTGGAGGATGGAATTGCCACCTCTCCAACCACACTGGTTAAACTAACAGTCTATCAACTCTCTCCTCTCACAAAGTAGAATGCAAAACAATCATTATTTACATGAACTTATCATGAGAACTCTAGTAGAAATATGTAAACAGATCAGAAGGCTAAAGAAGTTTTATGAGAACTCTAAAACTTTCAAAAGAACTATAAAAGAAAACTTAACACTTTTAAAAATCAGGGCAACATGCTGCCATTGTTAACTAAGTCTGAGAGTAAACAAAACAAAAACCTAAAAATTTACAAAATAATGTACGTCTTTATTTAATGTAAATTTTTTAAAATCTTACTCATTTTTTTCTCATTTATATTTCTCTAGAGTTAAGAGGAAAACCCAAACACTGACATTACACATAAGATTTCTCTACACAGTCTACCATAGTTCCCCAAGCAGCACCAAAATCAGCCTGCTCACCTGGCTGACTATAAATAAGGAAAGAACTGGGATTCCCAGGCAGACTAACCCACCTGTCTTCTCCAGGCGAGCTGTGGAGACCGTCTGGAATTTGATGCCCTTACAGCAGCCATCATGAACCTGAGTTCCTGATCACTGGAAATTACTTCTAAGACAATATATCTGCTTGAAAAATTGGTTATAATTGTGCTGTTCCTGAGAAGCATTTTAATTGTGACAAACTGCCACATTCCACTGGAAAAGGAAAACTTTCAGCTGCAGAATTTTTTACTGATTCTCATTAGAGCAGCTCAGATTTTGTACTTCCAGCTGAGTTTATAAGTAGGTCTGTTAGGAAGATCATCTTGCATTTGGTAGATCTGGTTTAGAGTCAAGCAGAACAGGTACACAACAAACCTTGGGCTATCTGGCTTTCAGTTTCTTTCCCTAAAATTGCATTTTGAAAGTCAAAATTTTTGCTCCATTATCCTGAAGTATTTTCTCAAAAGTTATTAGCTTTTTTTTTTTTTAAATAAGCCGCTTTTGCTGCTGCACTTTGCAATGCTGTCCACTCCCTTTCTCCCCCAGAGTAACCCAATAACAATACACATGTGGCACTGTGAGTACTGTTGCTGTAAATCAGTCAGAGATTCATAAAGGAGGAAATGTGATAACTGAGCAGGTCAGAGAAAGCAAATGCTGGATGCTAACTTAATTTACAGAGTGTAAAATGTCACCAATGAAATCTACAGCACTATATGGGTTTAAAGCAAAGGTAAATAAGAACTCCATAGAATGCAAAAAAAGAAAAAAACCAAAAAACTGTCCAAGGTAATACAGTATTATATAACAAAATTTAACATAATGTTCCAAATGAAAACTTAAACATGTGTTATCTGGTAAAACTCTCCTTAAAATTAGTTTACCTCAGTGAGGGCATGGTCTCCTCTTTGAATTATTCATCCTTCATGATGCCTTTCAGTCCTTATACTCTCTGTTTAAGAATACACTGTGCAAAGACAAATATGAGTAACTGGTGCTGAAAAAGGCTCACAAAATAGACGCTATTTCACCTTTCACCCATAAGCACAGGAATGTGTCATCAGAACATAGCACTTACCAAGCTGCTGTCTCGATTTCTCAGTGTTAGAATTTCAGTAATCCCAGGTAAGCTGGCTCCCTTTTTTCTTGGATCCAAGTTATTTTCCCTGAACCAGAAAAGGATTTACTGTGGAGCTTTTTAAAAACAAACAAGCATAACATATTGGCAGACACATATACAAAAGATTTATCTATACTGCATCCAGAGTGGAGCCTGGAAATTCAGTATGAATCCATCTTCATAATCTTTTGCTAGCTACATTTATGCATAGATAGACAAATATGTGTGCTGGTCTGATCTTTGTTTCTAGGTCCACATATAATACAGATAGCCTTTAGAATTATACCACACAATGTGGTTTTCTTGTGGTTTCTTTTTATCACTTCATAACAGCACAAAAATACTAACTTGAAGGCAGAAATAAGCTAAAAATGTATCAGTGCTTTTAGGTCTTACCTCACTCGCCTTATCTTTGAAGTGTGCAGGATGTGGGCTATGGCATTTCTATTTAAAAGGCAAAAAGGATGAATACAGGGGTCACCTGCCTTCATAAGGTTGTCGTTTGCTCCACTGAAGAGAAGTGAAGAAGAGAAGAAAAAGAGAGGAGATAACATTTAGGGGAAAAAAATCTACAAGCAAACTATCTTTAACTACTCAACTATTCAAGGATATTATCATCTCACTTTCCTGTTTCATGGGCTGTGGTATTGTGCAGTTTCACAAATTTTAGAAATCAGAGAGATGCAGGATCCGTTGTACTTGCTTGGTTCAAAGCAGTTGCTATTTACCATCAGGGCAGGCATCTGCTGAATCCAAGCAAGGTCTTCACACATTATTTTAGATCTGTTTCATTTCTCCTGGTTCCATCAGGTTCCTTGTTCTGTCAAAGCCTGCAAGCAGTTAAAAAAGGAATTCAAAATGCACTTCAGGCAAAAACGTGGGATCTCATGATGTATCTTAGCTCCAGACTTTGGTGAGCTGGAGGAATACTCATAAAAGCAAAACTGTTCCCTGGAAGTCTTCTTTAATCAAAAATGGCAAGTGACTGTAATAAAGACTGAAGATTAGAAAATAAGTTGCCCAGCTTGGCAATTAGTATGTCATAAGATAATTAGGTTTTAAGTATTAGGGTGGAAAAGTTTGGGGAGAAGGGACAAAGAAAAGTATCTTCCAAACAAAGTTCCAGAGGCAGCAAGCTGATCCAAAGAGCAATTCTCCTGCAAAGTCATATCTACCCAAAATATAATTGGAGCTCCATGTCTTTCCCACTGTTTCTCTCACAGTTTCTGTCTCTAACAGTTTCATTTTACATTCTCTTTTAGAAAACACATGACAGCAAAACATCCAGCTGCTTATGGAAAATTCAATAGCTTTTGTGATTTAAATCAATATGATTTTACAGGTGGTTGTTTTGCTATTCATATTTTTTTTTTTTAATTGCTGCATTTATAGTTCTGGCATAATATAGTTTTCTTCACATTCACAGCTTTTGAAAACCTTAGCTCACTCACCAAATTCCCTCACATTTCTGGTAGTATCAGGTCCTGAAAATCCTCTCCCATTCATTCTCAAGTTTCTTGGCTTGCCTTAAGACAGCCATTGTACTACCACCATTATTATTGAAGGTGTTTGTGGATGTTGTAACTGTTGACAAAACCACCGGTTTAGCGGTCTAAAAAGCTCCCAGTGTTAAGTCAAGACAGTGTAGCCTTCGGGCCACATTTAAAGATAGACCTAACAAGAAGTAAGAAGCAAAAGTAACAAGAATTCCTCTAAAGAATTCACCACTTTTCCCAGTTGAAAAAATTAACAGTTATTATTTTGGTTTACATTCTGTTTCCTGTTTTACTGTCTGTTGGAATTGTGTTATGTTATTAATGCTCAGGCCCTCTTTTAAATTAAAAATCTACAGATTGAAAAGTTATTTTGGAGGGCTGTAAATTAAAGTCCTAGAAATTAAGAACATTTTACAGTCTGGGATAACACAGAGATCATGAAAAGAAATGTGTTTGATATATTCATCTGCTGTGCTGTGCTCCCCAGTTGTGTCATTTTGGCCTAATACAAAACCAGGAATTGGTCTGATTGAATAATGGTGTTCAAGGACCAGTGATTTTTTTCTTCTCTTTCCACATTTCACGCATACATTTCTAAATCATTTTGACTCATCCTAAATGCCATAAATGAAGGCTGTACATTTTGAGCAGGTTTGTTTTTTTTGTTTTGTTTTTTTTTTAAATTAGTATAATTTCTATGTGACATGTTTTAGCAACCTTGAGTCCAGATGTACCCAATTTTCACTGCATTTTACAAAAAATAAAGGGCTGAAAATAATGAGGGTTAAAACCAAACTGTTGTTGAATGCCTGGCAAAGTGTTTTCCAAAAGACAATCAGAATCTTATTGTGCACACACAGTATGGTACATGGCCCATTTTTTTAATGTACTTAGTAGACACTCTCAATAAAAAGATGAAAGCCTCAGCCTTCTTGACATGTGGAGGGTGCAGTGTCAATTGTTTGCAGACTGAACATTCCAAACCACATATATATTCAGAAAACCCTTCAAGAGCCTGGAAAAATCAAATATCCTCTTTTATTGACGTGGTTGCTCCAAAATCCAGGACTGGGGTACTCTGAGTGTTATCTTGTGAATGTTCTTCTTATTTTCTACTTGATCTGCCTTATTTTCCATAATTTATAGGCATATTATTTGATTAATTTTGCACTCTCCTATTTTTCTGCTGTGGTCTTATGAACAATAAATTCTCCCTTGAATTCAGTGTAGAACAAGATTTTATCAAACAATGCTAGCTTTCAGTGTAATTGAAGATAATTTGACCTAAAATGCAATATTAAAATTCAGGACTAAAGTCTCTTTCAAACACAACCACTTATTAAAGAAAATGAGGTCTGGTGTCAATCCTTTGGTTCCCTTTGTTTCAAAGAACCATACAATTTCCAAACTTATACAGGGGTTAATTTTTAAACCCAGTGTTACATTAATTTTTTGTACATATAAGACTATTTTGCTTGATAAACTAAAAATAAATTGTTTATTTTGTGTAACCTTTAAAGATTTTTTTTTTTACTACCTTCCAATTAAGTGATTTTTTATTCATTTTGCCTATGTTTACCCTATTGCCAAGTATAATTTTTCTTTCTGTAAGGCTTATTTTAAGATTAACCTATTGGTTTGGTGTTTGGTCAGAAATCCTTCTGTCTGGGGAGTGAAACAGTGTCTGAGCCCTAAATGACTGGTTTAAGCCTTCCTGCTTCCCAAGCTAAACAACAAAGACAATAAATATTTTGCAAACAGATCTGCTGTGAGGATCCATCAGTTAAGGTTTGAAGACAAGGATGCTGCCTGTTTAGCATTAACCTGTAAGAATGTGTGACACCAGAGTTTAGGTTCTGCTGCTGCATTTCTTGTCAATGGAATAAGTATCTCTAGATAGAGGGATATCTCACGCAAGATGTTTGTCAGGAAATTCATGCCCTCTGGAGTACATGATGCTGTTTAATGGCTTACAATTTCTTCACATCAAGAGCTCTAGCTCTGCAGCTGAAAATAATCACACAGCACATACTTGAAAGCTGCGCCCCAGTGCTGAGCCTCAACTTGTTCAAAGGTTGACAGGTGCAAACCAGGTTTAAAAGAGCACCCCAGCAGATGTTCATATGTGCAGACTCATCAAAGACTTCAGATGTACCAGATTGGGACAGAAAGGCTTGTAAGTAAAGATTTGGTGGTTGAACAAGAAATGTTATGATTTAAAAATTTAATAAATGTCAATTTGCATATCAGTAAGATTTTTGCAACCTGTAGCTGAAGTCCACTCACCCAAAGAGTTACGGTTAATAAATATAAAAACAAGTTATATTAATTCTTTCAAGTTGCTGCAACAAACCTTCCTCCTTGAAAACTTGCAATTAATGCATGTGAGCAAGGTGAGGAGCAGAGGACTGGCTGAACAGGTGGAGCAGCACACAGCTGTAATATTATCACGAATCAACAGAAAAAAGGATGGTGTTACCATAAGCACTGAAGAGTCTTATTCTGCCTGGGTTTATCTTATTTCCTTTGCCCTCTTTCTCCTCTTATTTGTCCTTAGTTTTTGGTTGCTTGGCTTTTCTCTTACTTCCAGTTTTAACTGGCCATCTAAAATCCTACAGGCAGAAGAGATGCCTGCATTCTAAGAATGTCACATGAATTGGTAAGGTCCTACTTATAAATAGTATTACAATAAGACCTATTAATGTTCTCTCTTCTTTCCCTAATCCTATGCTCTTCTGCAAGGTACCAGTATGTTCCTTTCTTATCCAGTTCCTATATGGTGGGCTTTGCAAACATAATTATTTTATTTTCCCCACACTTTAAAAACCTTTATTTTTTTTTTCTCCTATTCTTTTTGGTTTCTATTTTCTTCTTATGGCAAGTCTTTTTCCAGCAAGATTTTTTTTTTCTGACATAACTTAGGATTTGTTTTAGTAGCCTCAACTTTTGTACAATATCCAAGCATTGTTCAAATTAAATACTATACATTTATTGTCTGTTGTAAATATGTAATATTATGTCCCAGTCTGCTAGGAAAAAAATCGTAAATCAAATTCAACTGAACTTCACAAGTGGAAAACATAATGTATGAACTTTATTGATCATATCTATATGTATGAGTATTCACACAGCAGTTATTAAATTCCTGAAATCCTATCCCAAAATAGATTGTAATCAGAGCACAATCTCTGGCAGGTTTCTTGGAGTATTTTTTTTTTTTATTTCACTTCATTCAAGATCTAGATTTGGGACTTGGCAGAAATGTCCCTTGGCAGGCTATTACTGGTAATGCTATATTGAATGACATCAGGGATGAAACAACTCAGATTTGATTACCACTACAGTGTATTATTCCCGGAAGCAGGAGGGAATGGTGTATGCTCTTGGACATGGTCTAAATAAAGTCTAAGCTGAATCAGAAGAATCAACCAAAAATTATGTACAATCAGGTATGTTACCCAATTAATCAAAGTACCTTTGATCTAGTGATGTGCTTCTTACACTTAATGAAACAAAAGTTTTGATAGTGTTGTGGGCTGCTAAGAAATAGAGATGTGTGGGCTGTCAAATATTTTCTGTGGCAAAGATCTCATCAAGCAATTATCTGCAACAAATGTTGGGTCCAATTTCTGCTACCCAGACCCTTTCAGAATTCACCAGAGGGTGATGTTGGCAGCCTGTCAGTAGGAAAACAAGAGAATGAGTTGGGAAACATTAATAAAAGTTGAAAACAACAGCTTCTGAAACATTTGAATCATCATTCATATGCATGCAAAGAGGCTGCCAGATGAAAAAATAAGAAAGTGGGCTGACGGTAGATAATAGAAAACTAGGAAAGGGACATTGGAGAGTTATACTCAGAAACCTGATGTGAAATTTAAACTGTTCTTTTTTTCTTAGCTTTTTCCAGGTGGCTTGTCTTGCAAACCCAGAAAAGAAGTCCTGGTGCCCTTTATCCATATACACACACCTGCTGTGCTTAAATACCCACAGTAGAACAGATCCTCATTTTTGTTTGTTTTAACTGAGAAAATTGTTAATTCTCAGCTGAGGGAGGAGGAAGGATGTAATAGTCATTATGAGAAAACAAAGTCAAAAGAGAAATGCAGCTACAGCCACTGTAACCACCTAACTTGTCAAGGAGAGGGAGGAAATCCTCGTACATCCCTGGGATTATGCACCTTCAGTCTCATCCTCTGTGTTGCCACATACAGAAGAAACATGCTTGTAACTATGTGCAAATATAAATGAGAGATTGGAAAAAGAAGGATCCTGTTTTTCAGGAGGCTGTTCTCAATCTGCGTATTGCTAAGAGTTTGGTCTTCTATCACTGAAA